CCCTCCTATTAATTGCATGCAGCACAATAACTCAATACCATTGTTGCTGCTGTTTCTGGTGCTAATTGTTGTTATGAGTTGGTGTTATTCTGCTGGTAATTACTAAACTTGATTTTGAAGGTTTTAAAGTCAGTACTAAAGGACATAAATATTATTATATTTTTTTAATGTTTTTTTTTTTAATTTCCTTCATAGAAGATGCAACAATGAAAAAAAAATACGGCAAAAAGGTATATGACATGCCTTAACAATGTGAAGTTGATTATAACAAATTGTAGTTTTGTATACAGCTGTAACTCCCACATTTTTCTGAGTTACAATTTACATATAGATAAATTTGTTCATTGAAATCTGATTGAAAAAATTACTACACGAAAATTTTCTTAGGTTCTGTGGTAAAATATTTAATAAAAATATATGAACACTTATATAAAAAACATAAATAAGTTAATTAAATATTAATCAAGTCTAGAGAATAATAAATTATTCTTAAAATGAAGAAAGCAATATTAATAAAGCAAAATTAATATAATTCGCAATCTTTATAATTAAAAAACATTAATATTTTATTCAAAATTCTAACTTTATAAATCTTTTATATGCTAATATGATTCATTAAGAGCAATTGAATTCATATTATATATTATTTAATAAAAAAAGTTCATATATAAGCATATAAATTTACATGCAGCAATTAACAATTAATTATGAGAAACAGAGTATATACGAACTATGTAGCTTATAAAAAAAATTTAATATTTATGAAATACACAATGCAAACGGCAGCAGTAACACAACAGTAGACGACATATTTCAATAGCAACAGAAATTTATATGAATAAGCAGAAAACACTTTAATATTAAATAATAAAAAAATAAAGAACCGGACGGAAATTGTATTTTCATGGTGAAGTGCGGGAAATTAAGTTTTAAGATTTCTTCACTATAATATATACATATAGATATATATATGTAGAATATAATTTATTACGATATGTTATAACTTACTAGGGTTGTAGACTGGGTAGACAACTAAGGCAGCACACAATGCTATAACATTGGAGGTTGCTCCGCTGCCTATTATCAATGCATGTCGCATGCATATGAAGTGCATATTATGTATTATTATTATATTTAGTTATTCATTGTTCTTGCATGTACGTATATATTTAAAAATATATTTTAATGCTTATCATAAAATTAAAAGGAAATGAATTTTTAAACTCTTTCCATATACATATAATTAAATATATATATAGCTGTAAGGGCATTAATACGCGAGAAAAGAATATATCTTAATAATAAATAAATTTAAGTCTTAATTTTTGTATACTTTATATATAGATATAAAATATAAATCAATTACAGATATGCGTAAATTAACATTAAATTTTTTATTAACAATATTTTTAAATATTTTGTTAAAATTTTATGTTTAATTTATGTTTGCAAAGAATTCGCACATGTGTTCAAAATATACATTTTAAGCGATAAAATTACGTTTTAACATTTTATTTTAAAATATATGCTTTAAATTTTATATAAGTACCAACAAGAGATACAGGTAAAGATACTACGTCTGCTATGCTATAATATATCCGAAGACCTTTGTATTTTTCTCTATATATCTCACAGGGATTAACAAGTAAAAGCGACGTAGTTCAATGAATTTAAGTATACGAATATTGAACATAAAATGAATTTAGTATTCTTAATAAAGTTTTTGTTGTTTATATTTAAGGTATATAAGTATATAATTTTTATATTATATATATACATGTGTTGTTAATATAAATATTCTTAATAAGGTTTTAGTTGTTTATATTGAAGGTATATAAGTATATAATTTTTGTATTATATATATATATGTGTTGTTAATATAAATATTCTTAATAAGGTTTTAGTTGTTTATATTTAAGGTATATAAGTATATAATTTTTATATTATATATATATATATATATATGTGTTGTTAATATAAAAATAAGAAGACTGTTTGTCTACTTATATTAAATACCTACAATTCTGTTATTATATCCGGCGAGACAAACAACCTACAAACATTTTTAAATTGAACTTGTTTTTATGTATAAATAATTTATAAAAAAACATTAATTTGATGGAAAATTTATTGAAATACATTTTTGAATATACTAATGATATTTATTTAATTATACAATATGCATCACGATTAGATTTGCATAAAAAAATATATTTAAATATTAAATTTTATTGAAAAAAAAAAAATCTTAATAATATGAATCATTTATTACTAATTAAAAAAAAATAAAATAAAATAAAAAATTTATTATTAGAGTTACAACTAAAATATAATGTAAAGTTAGAATAATTTAGTAAGTATCCAAATTATTAAAGCCAAAATATTTACTATTTAAAGTTACAAGTATATTAATAGATATTTATTGTGATTAATTTGTTAATTGAAGTTTAACGTCATCAGAAAATGACATTGAATAGATTATGTTCGCATGTTAAGTTTTTTTATTTTGATAAACCTTACATTAAGATAAGAGTTAACTAACTATCTATAGTGCGGAAATAATATTTGTTGTTGGTAATGATTATAATTAAAAAATAGTTTATATTTATTTTTAAAAGAAACGAACAGTATTTGAGATGGGAGTAAAATTCACATTTCTTGATTTTTCTATTTTATGAGATGCTGCCTTCTTAAAAAGTTTTTGGAAAAACATTCTACCATCTTAGTCCGGAGCATCGATATTATTTCAGCAATATGTTAAATAATGTAATGGTTGTTACAATGTTAATGCTAGAGATAGACAAAATTACATAGTATACTACAACCGACAAACAAGATTCACTTTCAGTAAAACGATGTCCATAGCGCCTCTCTATCTGAATTATTCTCATCTTTATCTCTTCCATATTTATAATGACACTAGAACTGTAAAACATTTAGTTTTGTAATATATGTCTGATGAAAATGGAAGATCAATTCTTTCAATACTCTACTGTAGGTTAAATAGTAAATAAAATTGGATGAAAAAATACCTTGATTATAAATATTCTGTGCACACTTTGAATTTATATTATTCTACTCACATTTGATGTAAATACAATTTTTAAAACAACTTTTATATAAAATAATACGAAAAATTATTTCAAGTTTGTCTGCAATTTAGTGACTTGATTTTTTGGCTCTAAGCTTAATCACTCAAATAAATTGTTTTCTATAACATAAGCTGGTTTAAATTAGTATAATTTGAAAAAATAAGAAAAAACGAATAATTGTATTGGAACAATGTAGTAATCGAAATAATATTGAAATTATAATCACCGTGGAAATTTTATGATAAGTGCATAAAAGTATATTATTAAAACTTTTCTCATTTGCATAAAAATTGTTCTGATAGAAAACTAGAAAAAAAATTAACAATACAATTTATATTATTGTTGATGCAACAAATTAGAAAAAAAACCTATAAGTAAAGTCTTAAAAACATACAATAAGAATAAGCCATTAAAAGAAGAATTGATTGAATATTAAACTAGAAATAAAAAGTTTAGGTGACTATCAACCTGTTTAGTTCAGTGTTCTAAAGCCCATAAATGAAATTTTGATATACATGTAGTAACATGAGAGAGTGATTTTAAGGAAAAATTGCCGGGATATTAAACCGTTGATTAGAGAAAGTTTACTATAGAATGTATATAAAGTGCATAAGGACAATTTAATAAACGTTTATTATAACTATAGAGGGAATCTAATAGTTTTCTTTTGTATGTAGTGATATCTTATATTAAATATAAACAGTAAGTTATAAATAGTTTTACACCCTGAATAAGTTAAAACTTTCCTTTCCGAAAGTCAGAAATTTTTTTTTTCTCCTAATTATTTAATATTAGTATATTTTTATATACAGTTCACACAGTTGCAGCTAAGGAGTATATTAACTTTGTCGAAACGTTTATAGCTCAGTAAGAATCTTTGGTAAAATATATTCTATACATACTTTTGATCAGCATACGTTGAATCGACTTAGCGATGTTAGATTATTTAAGTGTCTATTGATACACAAACTAGTAAATCCAGGAAAATTGCCACTGAACTCCAGAGATCAAAGAAGAAATAATAATGAAAAGAATATACTGAAAGATACTGTGCTGTGTGATGGAAAAGTAGTGGCTGTAAATATACGTGTTTTATTCCTCGAAAATAATTAAATCCAATATCGTAACTTTCAAAAAAAGTTTTCTTGGCTAAAACTTATGAATTCTCCTTATTTACGGAATCTGAAGTAAAACATACTAAAAAATACTTTCAAAGTTGAAAGTTTAACTTCGAGAGCAGAACTCTTAGTTAATAGAAAGGTAATATCGTTTGTGAATAAACTTTTTGAAAATTATGACATAGTGCAAAATTTAATAAAGCAAAACAAAAAAACAAATAAGTTTAAAATCATATTTTCTATGTTACAAAATTTTAAAACCCTTCGTATGTATATACACGCATTTTAATAAACTTTCTTTTTATATGTTATACCTCAATAATTATTGGAAGATATTGATCTAAGTAACTTTCATTATAAAACCAATATTTTTTGTTGTTACTTATTTTCACTGAAAACAAGTCAAAGTTTATTGCATTGTCTTTGCCATAATTATTATCCATTATTATATCATATATATCACATTGTGACATCCATCCATCCTTTTAGCCAACTACGTTTCAACCGCAGTTGAAAATATTATTGCATCGTACTCAATCTATTAATGTCTTTGAGCTAATCAGTCTTGACCTACTTTTAATGGGCAGTAGTTAAAAAAGCCATTGCCACTGCTAATGCTCCTCTTGAAAAGACTAAGAGATCGTCTGTTATCGTGTGCTAGTGACAGCAATTGTATAGTACACTTTATTTTAATACAAAGAAATCTAACATACTCGTCACACTTCAATGTTTTAAATAATCCAACTAGTAGCAGAGACCACCAATAGTCTTTCTTTCCAAACGATCGTAATTACTCCTTATGTCTGTTCTTCTTATGCAAATATTCCATTTTTTTCTCAAGAGATGTTAGCTTTTTCAAAGCTTTAACGATTGAGCGCCGATCCAATAACATTAAATTTGGTTTAACGAAATCCGTTCTTCGAGGATCATAGTCATCACAAAACTTCTCAACAATTTCCTAAAATCAAAAGAATGAGTTATCAAGAAATTAACAGACAATAATGACAAACCTTCTGCTTCTCTAACGCATATTCAAGAGAATTGGTTTGTTTCCATAACGCAGAATATAATGGATAATATTTAAAAAAATTGTACCTGGAACTTTCGCTGTAAGTACGGGTCGAAACGTTTAATTTTGAAACAATTTGTTTAAATGGAATTTTGTACATATTGCAAGTTTTATTTGGAGATCGGACTATGTAAAACTAAAATTTTGAATTTTGTTATTTCATGTCTGTAACATAAAAATTTATTGCTATATTAAAATTTATAAATAATTTTAAAGAAATTCCAACGCTTGCGTTGTTAATAAAAAATCATAGTGATTGTAAATAATTTTAAGTATTAAAATTTCACGAAACTCACTATGCTTTTCTGTGATTTATGTTGAATTTTTTATACGAAAATGAGACAAATCACGTTTTATTTTTAAAAAAATTAATCTTTTTAAATATTGCACCTTAAAAGATACTTATAATTTTAATTTATATATTTTTTTGTTGCTACTTCATTTTAGTATTCTATAGTATAACATTTTGCTCAATGATGTCGTCGTTTAAAAATAGCAAACACTGTAGTGTAGTATAGTACGTGTTTCTGTGTCGAATCCTTTACACAAAAAAAACATTAATAATAATTTATATACATATGTATAAATTTTCTACTTTTGAATTAGTACAATATTCTGTTTATATTAATTATTTAAAAATATAAAAAATATTATTAAATTTTTACTAAGCAGTCTTTGCCGTTGTTTACTTAATAAAATTTTTGTTAAATTTTTTCGCTTGTTGAAGAAAATACACTCGATGTATGTTGCGAATACATAAATGCTGCGATTTTATTGCCGTCTTCACTTACGTGGGAAATATGTTAATTTTTCTTGTTGAAGGAAGCTGGTAGCATAATTATATATGCCTCTATGTAAACAATTAGAAATAAATTTGTGAGAAAATTTAAGACACCTTTTATGCAATTAAGTTTTTTAATAGCGCTGACGCATTTACTGGCATAATTTTTTAATTAAATATATTGTTTTAATGGAGCATACACGTTTTTTCAAAGAAAAATTTCAAAAATTGTTTTAGATTTAAGTACTCTACTCTGAGTAATATTAAATACTAAACAATTAAGAAAGTTTCTTGCTTTCTTTTTCTAATTAGTATATCAGAAATAGTTCAACATTAATTATATAAGTATTTAAAATTTATAGCTAATAACATTTGTAGAATGATACAATAATATAGCGAAATGCTTAGAAGTAAGGAATGATATTCAATAAAAAAAATTATCTAAATAATTAAGTTAGACATTAAATATGATTTAAAATTAAAATATAGTTGATCAAATTGATCCACAAAATTTTATTATTAAAAAAGTTAATTCGAAATGCTTATAATAATTATTTAATTATTTTCTTTATTAATTAATAAATTAGTTTCAACTTAATTATTATTTTTGCTTTTCATAATATATAATACAAAATTAAACTAAAAATGATAAATTTTATTTAAGAGAACTTAATATTTACTTATATTCATATCGTCACATACACATATATTACAACAACAACAGAAAATAATAGCAATGATATATGCTCTCATATATGCATCCCTACATTATAATAATAAAACCAATTGCAAGAACAGCTCTAATGAATACAGACACAAGTAATACTGTTAATAATTATATTAAAGAAAAAAATAAGACAACCAAAATGAAAGGAAAATTAAATAATAAGAATTATTTTCTATGAAAAACCTCCCATAAAACATTTTTAATTTTATTAAATAATTGCAATGAATTTGAATGTTTAAGTTTGAAGTTTCGTATCAATTGAAATTCAAAATTTTGTAAGTATAGATATATTAATAGCTGATTCTGAATGCAAATAGTTAAGACGAATTTGCTGAAATTACTGCTATAGAAGTAGGTATATGCACTTAAAAAGGTTTTGATGAGTTTTGAAAAGGTTTTGATGATGAGATTGAATTAAAAAGTTTATACAACACGATGAAAGAATAAGACAGATGTACATTTCTAAAATCATTTAAAAAACATTTATTACTGAACTGTTATATTTATAACAGACTTCTGATTAAATAAAAATGTTATTTTAAATATAATAGGTCAATTGATCTGACCTGTGAAACATAAAAGTGTTAAGTATTTATTTTAATTTATTACTTATGTTTTTTACTAGCGCTTAACCAAAGAATTTAAAATTATTTATATAAAATAAATATATACCTATATATAGAGTATTTTTTATTATTTTTGCAATTTATATTATGGGCAAGTTAGCAAACATTTGTCTGTTTTGGCCGCAAAGTAATATTTAATAACATTTTGCAACGAAAATTTTGTTAACAAAATTGTTTTTGTGAATTTTTAATTTCCTGTTTTCATTGAATTTGGATTAAATATATAAAATTTTTGTCAGATAACAAATGAGAGAATGGCAATATTGTATATATACACGCAAAAGTTTCATATGAAAATATATTTCAACCACAATGGATGTAATATAATGAAGAAATTAGATTAACAGACAAATGTATAAGAAATACTAAACCAGAAAGTAAAAGAAAAAAATTATTAAATTGAACTACTTAACGTTTTCTACACAAACTACGTGATTTGGTTAGTGTTTTCAGTTGAACTAGTTTTTTTTCTTATAAAACAATAAATACTTCCAAACGTTTTGTTTAAATAATATAGGAAAGCAAAACCGTCGAGTTTCTGCTGTTACTTAACAGCAAAATGAAATGCATTTTTTTATATAAATATACGAATGTATAAAAAAATTTTTTATTAAATTTATTGAATTTTATATTTTATAAAGCGTGAATTTACTTCTTTAACATGTATATTTTTATATAAAGAAAATATTTAATATATGCTATTTAATTAAGTTTGTCATATAATCCACATTTCATTACTTTGAAAAACAGATGTGCAGTTGCGTTGAATTTGTACGCGTTAAAATGCCTTTAATTAAGTCCAAACTCAATAAATTAAAAAAAAATAAAATGTCAAAATGAATGATGCTACGGCATATTCCATTGATGAAGAGCACTGTTGACATTTCTACAGAACAACAAAGACCAAAGCTTGAAGTATTTTTAAATATTTTTATTAAATTTGAGAAGAATTTATTTAGATTCTCTAAAAGTAAAAAAGTTTTATTTTCAGTCTAAATTAATTAAGGTTTCGTTTAATCTTGAAGCAAAAGTATATGCCATTTGAAAAGATAAACGAAACCGAATAAAACAAATAATCAATTTTAATACTTCTAGCTAAGTGAATATTGATAATATTCTCACATAAGTTCTTTAACATCTGTGGCTTTTTTTTAAATAATATTAGTAACAACTCATTTATAAGGACATTATTCTATGAAAATAAATGCGAGATAAATTTTTATCCTAAGCAACTTTTCTCATATTAGCAGAAATCAATTCATCAATATTTAACAAGCGAATATTGTACCTGTTAACTAGTGACTATAGTACTGTTTTTCTCTTACCAAACAATAATCGCTTAGTTTACTTAAACCAATTAAACACCGTGAGCAGTTCCTGATCTCAAGGAGAACGTCTGCTTGTTGTTACAATGATTTTTACCGTAGCACAACAAAAATTTTCACTCTTATATACGATAACTTCAGATCCTATTGTCTTCTAATATTTTATTAAGACTTGTAGGTTATGAATAAGAAAAGTTAAAAAGCAAAGCAGATTAGGATAAGGAACATAGCTACAAATAAACTGTGACCAGCTTAGCATGTATGAAGGCATACTTTTTATGTTTTATTTACTTGGGTGAAGTCTTCCCTTATGTCATTGGTAAATCAATATCTGTTCTCGATCTGCCACTTTTTTCTCTAATTTTTTTGACCAATCGAAGATTTAGGATATTCATTTTGCCTGATATTAACTAATCAAAAATAAAAGCTGTACTAAAAGTAAATCTGGAATAAAAAGGTTACTTTAGAGATTTCCCAAACGAAAACTATATTATAAAGCGCTTGAAGAACTAATTTGATATTATGAAAGGTGATTCGGTTTGATTGTTTGAAAACGTGTTAAAGATTAACATCACATATTAAGGAAGCTAAATCTGCAGCATGCTTAAAAGATAGAGTGATACATACAGTGCTAAATTCAATTAAACCTGGTTATTATTCCAGTATAGTATATACGTATTATTATTATTATTATTGAGTAAGGGATCGTGCACTGCGACCTAAAAGATCTATTGTGCCCCTTTGTCGGGTTAGAGTATTTCTCCAAGTCCGATTTCTTTAATGAAAGACAGTATGGATCCTATCTTCCCCAGTCTTGAATCCTTATGATCCATGAAATACCCTCCTAGGTGTTTCTTTCGTTTATGCATCAGTGCCGGGCACTCCCCAAGCACATGGTATGCCGTTTCTCTCTCTTCCCTGCAGTATCTGCAGTCTGAGTTGGATTGAATTCCTAACTTCGATAGGTGATTATTCAATCTGCAGTGACCGGTCAGTAATCCCGTAATAATTCTTATGTTAGTTTTTGATTGTACTATGCAATCTTTAAAGCGTTTTAGGTTGTAAGTCCCTAAAAGCATTTTAGATTGTGAGATATATACGTATAATTTTGGGGTTCTTATATGTTTAAGTGAAGTTATATATAGGTTAATTAATATTCTTGTATACTAATTAAGGTATCACTTCTATTTGATCTATAAAATGTTCAACGAAACGGAGATATTGATGATAAAATTCATTGCTTCTTGATGTGAGATATAAAATGTTTTCGCTATATAAAGTCTTTCCCACAAAACTTTGATATGACTACATAGTCAGTTCCCAAAAACTGTCATATAGTAAATATGTTATGATTTTAATAGAAAAATTTATCGTATACTCGTATAAAACTTTTTTAATTTTTTGTGCATACTAAATTTACCAAAACTCACCTAATTTCGTGCTATGTAGTCTTAATTTCAATTCGTGCAAAAAATTTAAATTTTTGTTTAAAGCATTATACCTGAAGACTGACAAATTAAAATTAGACATAAAATATACTAGGCGGAAACTTTTAAAAATATTTTATTATATAGTAAATTTTTATGCATTTTTCACACGTACAATTATTTTGCCAAAAACTAGCAACCACAACAACTTTATTTGTATCTCAAACAGAAAAAAAAAAACGTGTGTGTGTACGGGCAGATACTTAGAAAAG